ATAAATTTGTGTTTTTTTAAATGGCAAGCATATTTGATTATGCCTTAAAAAAAGCATTTTATTACGATTTCAGTGATTTATCACATCGTTAAGACGGCAACTCATTTAAAGTGTGTATTATAAAAATCAAAAAGTACAAATAATAATTAAAATTGAACGATGGAAACCATAACTGTTATTGTAAGGCTTTACAACTGAATAATTTGCTTTTCTAACAAACCCACCATCAATATTTTCAAATTCTCTAACAGCTTCATTAAGTTAATTTAAATTGCCATATTTATTTTTCTAAATTGTGTTTTTACGTCTCAACGATGTCGTATTGGCATTTGTTTCAATACCGTCTACAAAAATTAACAAGTAGCTGATAATCCCTTGGATGTCCCTTTTGGGATATTGATAATTTATAAGGATGAAATCTGTGATTTTAGCATGGCTCCGCTGCAATCTCCCTGGTTTAAATTCGTGGAGACTGGCTTAAAATCGCCAAAACATTAATTTCCGCTGCTTCTATACCAACACCCAAACTGCCGTAGAATTTTGAGAATGCTTTCAAAGACGATTGTTAAAATGCCTATCAAAAGTAGTCAGAGGCTCGTCCAGCATTTTTATCACATCTAGTGTTGGTTTCAATCATGTCGCACTTTTCTTCATTGAAATAATCAATTTTTACAATTAAACTGACTTAAATATCTAAGTAACTTGAACTCAAACTTGAATGGCAAAAAATGGAAAGATGTGGTTATTATTTGTTACTATGGAAACAATGATGTATGGCTTGTACTATTTTCCAAGGCTAACTTCGATCAACTAAATTCAAAAAATAAAAAATCATTCGGAGACACTTTGTTTTAGAAAAAAACTAACGATATGTTATATTACTAATATAAGATAATTACTTAATCGTGATAAAATGCTCTGTTTATTAAAGGCAGAATAGAATATGGTTTTCATTAAAAAACACAACTTCACGTCATATGTCAGAAATGGCATTTAATTTGTTAAAATGAATTCTGCGATTTTATTTGAAATGCAATTTCCTAAATCTTTTCGATTTAAAGATTTTCTGTGAGACTAATATTAGCGAAACTAAAAGTTATTAAAATATTTTCCATAAATCAGTTATTTAAATTTTTGATAGTAAAAAAGTTCTGCTACGATTTTTTGATGAAAGGTCAAAGCGGCAATTATTTTTTGTCATTAGTCAATACATAGTTACAAGTGGATAGCCTTTCTCAATAATAACAATAATTTGTCAAACGTCGTGTCAAGAGATTTGTCGAATCATGTGAAGTGCACATTTTTTGTCTACCCTTTTCTAATCTTTAAAATCGCATTTTACTTTTTGCGATATTTGGCGTGCGAAAAAAGATATGCGAAAAATGAAATTTGGATTACAGGTAAAGTGCAATGCGCAACAAATCAATGCAAGTAATTATCAATAAATCTTCTACTATATTTTCAACAAGCCATGATAATTGAAATGCATACCCGCCTATATTTTATCATTATTTTGTTAGTACTTAATCATCATAAGTATGATACTTATCTTGGCTAACGACTGATCTATACAATTATTCGGAAAGTTTTACGCCAACTCATCTACAAGTTTAGGGCTTATTCACATCCTTAATCTATGTAGATAAATTAACAGACACCCGAATGCCCGACCTCAATTCTACATTAACGCATTGAAAAGCATTAGCTGATCAATTCATTGATATAAGCCCTTCCATTCATTGGCTTGATAGAAATTTTTGAGATATTGATTAGGTATGTGCAAATTCGTACGTTAATTCGAATGTACTAAACTGCAACAAATAATTCTTCATTATTAATTTGTAATGAGCATAATGATAATGAAATGAGAGGTTGTTTATAAAATTTTAATAACCGATCCGTTAAATAAATTATTAGATTTTGTTGTTCGATTTTTGTCATTATGTTGTGCCACGGACAAACAAAAGATCTTTCAAAATTGCCTTTATTGCTCGCACAAACAACAATAAGCTATAAAGCGCTCACTGAATACAATTTAATAATTTACACGTTGGTAGTTCATGAATGAAATTATAATATTAATTTATGCTGCGACCCAAATGCGGGACCATGTGCGGTCATAATGTCTGCAAATATTTTTTTTCTTCGAGGTGGACCAACAATAAAGTTGTTTTGAAATATTATACAAGGTGATTCAAAATTGGCGTCATTCCTCTAGAGGTGTCCTCTGGCGGTATTTTAGGAGAACAGAAAAAATAGTTAAAAAAATTAATTGTTATTAAAAACTGAGAAATTTGTAAGAAACTATATCAAAAAGAAGGCAACAATGTTTTTCAATGTAATCTGCCTAATTAACATTACGGAAATCCCTGTTACTTCGTAATTATTAAAAACTCCGGTAACCATGGAATTATACAGACTGACAATAAGATAGACAAGGATAAACGGTAAAGTCAACAGGATTCGTTGACTATGAAACCTTTTGTATTTTTCGTATTCGGTTAATTAACTCCTACTCAATTTGTACCGGCGTTCAGTAAGCGATTGGTTTAATGTGTCCTTGTGCCGTGTGTATCTTACATATGTGGTTGGAATGTAGCCCTTCCTTGGTATATATTTGCTGCCTGGAAAAGTTTTTGTTGTTGTGCAGCAACCCAGAGGATAATGCAAGACTCCTGGAAGGCTTAGCTGCCATTATGTCCAATCTCTCTGGGTTTTTAACCCAAACATCTATTGTCGTCCACTATCTTCCTGGCGCCACCCTTCAGTATCTCTAACCCTTTGTTGGCGTGAGATCTTACAGCTTCTGTTATAATACTGTGGCATTTGCCGAGAACTAAACGCATATCCGCAAATTCCTGAAAGGTACTTCAAAGTAAGTCGCATTTTAAAACCAGACGACTTGATTTGTTGCGATTCTAATTAAATACAAGACAACTGGAATGAAGTAATAGAAAGTTGAGCGCACATTTTTTGTCTAGTATTTCCTAATGTTTAAAATGGCATATTCCTTTTTGCGACATGTAGCGTTTCAAAAAAAAGTGCAATCTAGCGGCAAAATAAATGTTCAGTATAGGTTAAAAATAAAACGAAAAAAAAATTTCATAAGCTGTAACTTGGAAAATATTCAGATTTCGATTTTTTGTTACATGACCTGCTACCATTATTTTAGTATGTATAATCAACCTTAAAAATTTCCTATCGCAATTTCCAAACACCCTGTATATTTTCACTTTGCGTATAGCAAATTATATTCCCAGCCGACAAAATATCGCTAAAAATGTTTTTAGGTCTTATAAGTCGCGGTTCTTTAGAATTGCTTCCTCAAGTCATAACGTTTCTCTCACATTTGCGGTAAACATTCCCAAGCGCAATTAGATAACGGTCGCACTTTCATTACTCGCTGCGATGCCAGATTTTGTAGCCGTGTTTTGGATTTTTTCCCGAGAGTTAGTTCTTTCGAACTTTTACTCTGTCTTGAGTGCAAACAATGATCAGTTTTGGTTCGTTAATTTCTGCATTCTGCAGTGGCAGGCCCTCTAGCCATTTGGAGAAAGCGATAGGAGGTGGGGTGGGGAAGATTTAGGCTAGTAGCTACAGGATTGGATTTTTAGAAATTAAGGCCGCACTCTTATTGATTTTGGCTTCAATTTCCGATTCTGGGAACAGCAGTAGTTGAAGCAGCTGATTGGAGCCACAATTGGATAAAGTATGTCCGACCTTTTGCCAATTTTTACCCTGCGGAATGTATTTGATTTTGGGAGAATTGTAGGTTCTTTAGGGCTTGATGAGCACTTTAAGGTTTAGTATGTTTGCAATTTGAACAAAGTGGGATTTGGGATTTGGGCAGGGTACCTTGACCATGTTGCTTTGCAAGCTTTGTTGGAGTGCCCAAGCCGGAAAAGTGTGTTTCTTCTGGGGAGATTCCCAGAGCGGTTATTTCCTTATTCGTTTCCTCGATCTCCATGCGGGCATCGAGGCCTTTAATAATGAAAGACAGTTTCCTGTCTTCCTGGGGCGTGTGGGAATAATGCTGTATTTGATTTGTCTTCAGGAGCTGGATTATGGGTTTGCGGGTTAGTGGTTCGGTGGGGAAATGGATATGCCGTTGGGGCATTTTTTGGGCTTGGTATTGGGGGTTGAAGTTTGTTGTGGGATTTGAGGTTGTCTGGGGATTTTCAGCGGGGGAAAATTGGAGGCTTTCTGGGCCTCAATGGATTGTTAGATTTTTTATTGTTTCTGTAGTGGATTCAGTCGAGTGTGTCGTAGAGGTGGGGGTGAAAAAACTGGAGAGCTCCTTTTCGAATGCTTCCAGCCTGGTTCGGAGCAATTAGTTCATTTTAAGGAGTTCTTTGTTATGTTTTTTAGGAACTCGTGCTCTACTTCTTCGTCGGAGTAAGGCGTTTAGCACCTTAACTTTTTGTCTTCTGGGCTCACTGGGTCACTTTCACATGGCGCTTTTATTTTTTCCTGGGTCTTCTGCTCATTCTTCCTCATGACGACTTTAGACTGGGCTTTATCTTGACGATGGGGGCTGTGTCTTGATAGAGACACAGGTGAATTTATTTTTCATTTAGAAATCACGTGATTTCAGGTACGGGGTTCACTAGCCACACACTTTTGACTAGAGGCACTTAGCAGGGCTAGTATATTTCACTCCAAAAAGATATGATTATTAGTATAGTTTCGGACGCTGACAGATTGATGCTCGTGGGTCGACTTTCGAGCACATAATGAATGAATGAGCTGGTTCTTCAACTGATTTAATTATACCGACTTTGCACAGTGGCGTAGCAAGCATAACTCGCGCAGTTTTTGTGTTCCATTATTCAACTTTCGAAAATGTATGCGGGAAACCTGTTACATGTGACTTCACGGCTTATTTGAAAAAAAAGTGTCTGAATAATTTGAGGATCAAAACATAATTTTACAAAATTATTTTCAATTAATACAGCACAATATAAACTTTTTTCTTATTCAAGAATATTTATACTTTATAGGGATCCATAGTTTGCGAGATGTTCAAGTTACCATACCAGCAGTTGCCAGAGTAAAAGACACCATCATCTTACAGTGTAACTACGATTTGGAGAATCAGCTTTTATATACCGTTAAATGGTATAAAGCAGGCAAGGAATTCTACAGGTTTATTCCACGAGAACTTCCACATTCTAAAGTGTTTCCTATGACCGGGGTTCATGTAGACGTGAGTTGGCAAGCAACTTTAATTTCGATTATTCTGCAACAGAATCTATTTTTAAACTTACCTGTATTCTAAAAAAAATCAAAATTTTAAGAAAGAACGGTTTTTCTTGAAAGTTCCTTCTACATTTCAGCTGAATAAAAGCACTTCACGCGAAGTAGTTTTACGGAATGTACAAGTGGAGGTATCGGGAACGTATACGTGTGAAGTTTCTTCAGATGCTCCTGACTTCGATACGAAAATGGATTCTGCTCATATTTTTGTTGTAGGTAAGTAGTAACGGTGTTGAAACTAAATTACTTTGAATAAAATGAAATTAATAAAAAAATTAGTAGTCTCAATAAATATTTCACGAGTTTTAAGGAACCAATTAGCTTCAATTATGATTTGAAAAGAAGAATGATGTACAGGGTGTCGGTCAAATGTTGTCAAAATTTGATCGTAGATTTCTAAGGGGAAAATATGATGATATAACCTAATTTTTTACTTAAGAAGAGCAGAAATTATTAGCCAAAATAGCATTTTCAAATAGTTAACAATATAAAGAATAACTATTGATTTGTAAAACTAAATATTTCATATCGGCATAAAAGAGTAAAATGCGAACTTTAGAAGGGAACATATGATAAATGTTTTCAATCAGTTCTTTGATTAAACTGGAAATTTCATATCTCAAAGTTAATTCTCCATTACACACGAAAACAATTTTTCTAATTGTTCTCACTTTTTTTTATCTGTCTGTAAAAAAAGGCTAACATTTGTTACTTCAGGGTAAGTGAACGGTACAAGGATGCAGTTGGCAACCATTGTATCGCTGCATCGAAGTGCAAAGATATATTCTCCTGGTGTTAAAACTCGGTTTATTTTCAATTTGTTAAAAATGGAAAGAGCGTAGTGCCAATACTACTCGAGTTCGCTATGTTGGGAAAACACATTAGCAGTAGTCGATAAACTTTTTTTTCTACATTCACAACACAACCATTCAGCTGAAATATTTAACCGTTTTCCGATTTCCTATGGATCATGTGGTTAATCCGCATCAGCTTTGCCAAACCACGTCCTTTAATTAAATACCCTAAAAACAAATATTGGCTTTTGATATTTGGCATAAAAATATTTCATGAAATGAAAGGATTGCAGTTTCGTGCAAAAATCGGTAAATGAGTAAACCTTAATTCATCATATTTGCCAAATCATTGATGAACTTTATGAGTAGATTTCCATTTATTCTGGTTTAATGAAATTTTAAATTGTCACTCGCCAAACGTTTCATTCCAAACTCGTCACTGTTACTACAATGACTTTCAGTTCTAACAAAATTTACGGTTTGTAATAAAAAATTTCCAAAAGTACAAATGGATGACTCTTAAGGTTTTGCAAGGTTTGTGGTGTCTTGTCAGTAAATCACTTAGAAAATAAATGTACCGTCGTCATATCTGGTAATCTAGGCCGTCAGTCCAAATCAGCTCGGAAATTGATGTCCTAAACTCTGCATCGCATTGTGTCCTTAAATAAGCTGAATAAAGTGGCGACTAAATCAGTCGCTTTTAAGTCTCAAAATACCATACATTCATATACAGGCGTAATAATAAATTAGAACTTAAAATGCAAGTGAGTGAAAATCCGTAAGCTGTTTTATGTTTCTAATTATGGATTGTCCGTGAAATATATTTAGTAACTTTCCTTACAGATTATCCATTCGAAGATCCTTTATTAGCTATAGACAAAAACCTAGTCGATATAGGGGACTATATTAAAGCAAATTGTTCAACTTTTCCTTCATACCCAGCGGCAAACATCAGCTGGTACTTGAATGGAATGAAGGTAAAGTTTACTGCCATTCGAAGTGCTACTTTATCAGTTAAACCTTATCGAAGTTTTCTGTATAGGTCAGGCACAACTTTTTGGAGAGATTTGAAAGCAATCCTGAGTTTGCACCGAGTAAACGAAACTACTACTCAACATCATCTGGGGTGGAATTAATAGTTACGGATGATACCTTCCGGGTAATTATTCACTTGAATTGGTTTTATTTCTTTCCTTATTTTTCCCAATTATTAACTTTGCTAAGCATTTTGTATTTTTCATTTTGCAGGACGGAAAAGCAATCTTGAGCTGTGTCGCCACATTGTTTAAGATCTACAGAGGGGAAAGAAAACACACGTTTGAGGAAGGCCATGCAAAACCTAGACCGTCCTCTGTCTTGAGTCCTTTGGATGTTAGATCAGGTATGGCATTTTGTACCGTGCATTTCTTACTCAATTGCGCAACATGTAGAAATTTGGTTTGCAAATGTTTCGTTTTATTATCAGATTTTTATATAACACTACATTTTACTGACTTGGTAGTGAACCATTTCCTAATCGCGCTTTCCAGATATGCAAGATTTTACTTCTACCCACGCTAATTCCAATTTTCTTATATGAAAAACTTGAGCTCGTGTAAAATTTAAGTTTTAGATGGCTAAATACCGTTTCAGCCGCTATGGAGAAAAATGATATGGTAGGTCGCCTGTAATTTTCATTGAGTTTGTGTGTAAATATATTTTGTGATTAACCCTGCATATAATTTCCTTATTTTTAATAATCATAACATCGATATAACTATTTGGTGTTATTGAAAGCATAATATTGGAAAGCATACTACCAGACTGATATCAGGGATTATTTAGTAATTATGTAATTTTTTTGTTTTTGTTTGTTTACTTCAGCTAAAAACGAGCCTTAAAGTATGAGCGCAGAAGAGTCTCTTAAACTTGATAAAGACAGATATTTTATGCTGTGACCGACAGCTCAAATCATAATTAAGTCAATATTCCAAACTAGAGTTTTTTAAATACGAAATTGTTTATTTGAATTTTATCAATTTGATTCAAATAGTTGAAATTTGGCAATATGAAAGTTTACGTAGTTAGCCACGATTCCAAGTAAAAATTGATTTAAATCATAAGTCGAATACGTATTTTGAATAACTAAATATTCAACAAAATGAAAATCATTCAAAGTAGTAAGTTCTAAGCCGGACACGTTGTAGACCAACTTGTTTGCACATTAAAGATAAAACTGCCTTAATGTATATGAACTGTAAATTAATATAGTTTATAGGCCGTAGTAGACATTTAGATGCTAACCTTGGTTTCCTTCGATGCTGTTAAATCAATAGAAACCATGCTAATACGCTTCCTCTATTTTGTCAACCCTATTTTACTAAAACAAGGAAAGATACAAATTAGCCCGTAATGCCAACTCATGCAAAGGCAACAGTTGCCGCAATTTATCTTTGCAGGTGAGGCGAAAGGATTATTATAAAACGAATTATTCTTAGTATCTTTAATCATTTGTAAAACCATGAAACGTGTAGTTTCTGTAGTTTGCATCCATACTAGCAATTGCTATACAGTGATAGTCGTTGCATAGTTATACTGGTTTCTTTAATTATTTGCTACAAATTTCCGTTTTTGTTTAAAAATTTTCTTTGTTCAATTTTCGATATAATTAGATTTTCTTATTGTAAAACAGGGCAGGTAGACGATTTAAGAATCAAACAGCTTCAAACGAGTTGCTACCGCATGCACCGCTAGCTGAAATGTTTTGTCTTAATTATTTCTTTATTACAGGTAGCCGAAGACTGGGAATATGCCAAATCGGCTATGCATTACCTCTTCTCCTAGTGCATGTGCATCGATAAAACTAAATTTATTCGCGTTAATAGCAAAATACGGAATAACAGGGACTTTTGTATTGATGATTTCTTTATCTAAGGTGAAATGGAATGGGGCAAGTAGTTTTCCCCATTAGCCGCTTCGAGAATTCAATAATTTTCTAAGAACTAATACTAAAATATTTAAAAAGTCGCTGTCAGACATGGTGGATAGAACTAATTAAACTTATTTTCCAAACCCACTTGGCGTAATATTTATGTCTTAGTTAGACGAAAAGTTAAACAAAACAGCAAATAGCACAAGCATAATCAAATGGGAATACTTTACAGACATTTCTTATGTTATTTCATATTTTTCATTATTTAATAATCAAGCAATGGAGTTTATTAAAATTATATTGAGTTGACAAACGTAAAAACATCTAAAACCGAAATTGCCTGTTCATTGTCAACATGTTGTAACATTAGTAACATGTTGCATTAGTTTTGCGAGTAAAAGCTGTTTGCAACGTCTTTGAACAACATTATTTCCATACACCATGCTCATATTAATCAATGCATATTTGATATGAAAGTTAAATATCATTGGCACATTTAATTTATATTTATATCGAAATCATCAGCACTCCATCTCTCTTTGTCTCAAGATCAAAACAATCGAAACATGTACATACAGATGTATATATCTAGTACGAATAAATGAAACAAGCTGGTAATAACTAAGTTAATGCAGTTCGTGTTGGCAACGGATAAATATTTTCGAGAATTCTTCTTTTGCAATATTAAATAAAGCTTTATTTCACTTTCGTTGAAACTCAATCATTGACATTTACCTCCCACACCTGATTTACAAAATCATTATACGGATCTACACAGGATAATATTAGTCACGTTTTTCGTATACGATATTTGTTATGAACACATCTGGCAGATCATAGGTTTACAATTTATAACGAAAAATCACTACTCCTAATACATATTTTCAAATCCAACAGACGTTTTTCGTTAAATTGATATTTGGCGCTTTCAATTATTTTATCTACAACTATTATATAATGTCTACGATTTGGCACTCTTTAAAATGCCATAATGATGCTTATTACCGCACTAGCGCGATAATAAATCTGTCGATCGTTGTTAAAGTTGTGTCTTCAAGTTGCATATTTTAAAACAAGTTCAAGCGATGATCTGCCATCTGATATTGAGAATAAATAAATGGCAAGTGGATTTTGATCGGTAGCAGAAATGGTGCAGTGAGCGAAAGATACACACACAAAGAACATCGAGAACCAAAAGGATGAGTCGTCTGCAAACTGTCTTCCTAAAAATCACTAAGATCTGATATCACACAAATGTCTGACGATCTGAACAAAATGGATATTTTCCTTAAAGTTGTAATTTGTATTTGTTACCGAGAAAACTTCAAATAATTTACATTACATGGATTGATCGACAATTTTACATGGATCAGTTGAAATTGAAGCGAACCGTTTGATTCCATTATGTTCATCGCTTGCGTAAAATGAAAATCAGTTAATAAAGCTGTCAGAACTAAAATATATCATTTTGGTTATTAAGATTTATTACTCGTTCATTATTTTTTGAACCGTCTGAGTAAATGAAGATGTATGGGCTTTTTGAAATTGCAATCAAATGTGTAATACATTTAGAACCCTAAGGATAAGTCGATGTACAATGTACTGGGTGATTCGTTTATTATAACCACTATGAAACTATGCAAGTGCCGAAACTTTTTGCTTAAGTCAACTGCAAAAAATAATTTTCTCCTATTTAAACATCACAGACGATAGGTAATTTAAAATGTAATACAAATACTCAATACGGTAAAGCAGCAAGCTATACCATGCCTGAGCGGTGGCACTAAAAATAAAATAAAATAAAAATAATCAAGCCGTGATTAAATCGATATCTTCTAGAACTGATTACGCATATCATAGACAAATACTTTATTTGTAATATTCCACAAGATCTGAGGTGGTTCTACATATCTAACTAAGCCTTTGTCACACATGGTTGAAAGTTGGTAGAAAATACTTAGATTTCAAATCCACAATTTGAAACAGCCTAAGGAGCTGTAATGTGTAAGAAATGTAAAGGAAACAATTAACAGAACACCTTAAAATGTAAATCACTTGCGTTCCCAATCTGTATGTATAGGTGGCACAGGATATAAACGACTCATCCGATACCTATAATATGATAATAATTTCATAAACTGTTAGAAAATCAATTGTATTCATGATGTTCATTGGTTTGGAACTAACTAGACGTGTATGTTAAATGTAAATACTGTTAATAAAAACAATTCAATTGAATAGAGTTTCTCGATTTATCATTTTCCTTACATATCAAGTAGTTGAAAAATGCAAGAAGATGAAATTTTCAATAGAAACCCGACAGGGTGTGAGCCAGATGGAATAAAATGTCAGGTAAGTCATTATTTTGTCTTTAAAGTATTTTTTCTGTAAAATAACATTATATTGACACTGAAAACAGGAGCATATTTACAATACTTAATAAAAGAAGAAACTACTGGGTGATAATTTAAAAATGTACCATGGGTACATCTGAGCAACAAAAAGGCAAAATTCCTAGAAATCGATCGTACAAACAGTAGGTCAAGCCAAATTTGTGCACCAGGTAAACTACTGCAGTCAACCCTCTAGCTCATAGCCACTCTTATAATGATTTACACAAATAAAAATCCAAATTGATAAGTTTCTTTAAAACTTATCGATATATTTTAACTAAATTGCATTGGCAATAAAATAGTTTCCATAAATTTTACAAGTAAGATGCGTACCTGCCCGCAACCAAAATTGAAAAGGAAAAACATAGCACGCCACTGTATTTTTTATTTATTATAATTCTTTTTCAAATTCCCTGTTGCATTCCAAATAAAAAATATATCCTGATTTTTTTGCTACGGCAAGCGGTTAATATTCTTAACTAAGATATGTGGTAGGTGAGTTGGGAACCATCGCGCAATGGTCCCAGCTTATGGGCAATGCGGTTATGGGGTTTTAGCGTTAATATGAAATTTAAAAAGTAATATTTTCTTTTCGAAATCAACTTGTTAAATAGATACATGTTAATATTTTGGAATACAAATTTACTGTTCGTTATGTTAAAATGAAGAGTAAACTTGATAAATCGAAATATCATGTGCCACTTTTCAATCCTTTTGACTGTGCAAAAGCAAGTACTTTATTTTTTTTTACCAATGGTTTTTAATAAAATTTAATGACATTTATAACCCGGCCAGGCCTTCATTCTGCACCTTCTTCGGAAAGTTCTCCTGTGGATAGGAGTGCATGATCAACTACGTTAAATCCATGTAGAAGAATTTTGTGAACTAAATCATGTAGATAATACCACCGATATTGTTCGATAAGTTCTCTAGCTAGCCTTATAAATACAAAGCATATATTTTTTAAATTTATAACAATTTTCTGAATTGAGTTTATGTCCAGATCCTAAAGCTTGTAAAAGAACCCAACATCTATAGATATATTCCGTAACTAGCATTTCTATCTGAAAATTTCTGTTTGTATGCGCTATGAGCCGTGCTTCCATCAAAGCCCGATTTTCCCGGCAATATTAAATCATATTTAAATACTTTAAGTGGAAGAGTTCAGAAAACATATTTTTGCGATTCAAGGATACGAGTAGGCGTTTGATCTAAGGGCGATTGCAACACAACTTTAGCACAAGGTTAGCAAGCAGTTTTTTTTTGATTTAGCAGCTTTTTGACACGTAGGAAGCATCTGATGTAAATTAAAGATATCTATAATTAATATACCTATACTCATGCTTGGTTTGCTTAGCTTAAGTATGAGTATTAAAGTTGAGTAGTAAAAGTATTTCTCTTATATTAATCCGTGAATACAAGGATTTACACCTATGCTCTCTTAAAGCTTTAAATGCAGAACGTAACATGATATCCTTGACAATCATCTGCGCTTAGATCCTCAGTACATTCTGCAAAATATTTAAAAAACAGTTTGCTTTTATTTGTTGATAGTACTTGATAGTCCGAAATCGCTTGGCGATTTACAGGGATGTGTACATACACTTTCTCTTCCGGAAACGTTTGTATAAGTGTCAGTTCACAAAATTCTCGAATGGTTTAGAGCTGCATATTTGTCTCTGAAGAGACAAGGAGAACCAGAAATGAGATTGTCTGACTTGATGGTCCTATCTTTCTATTTCTATCTACTGACCAACTAGGCTAAGACTTGAGGAATATTTTCCAAGTTAGTATAAGTTTTTTCGATAGCTAAATATCAAGAAGATACATCCGCGTAAAAGTGTAGTTGATGAGTATGATGTAGTGATTGATTGAGTAGTTTATTGTCTGCAGCAGTAAAATGCGATTTTTTTGGTAATTACGGATGAAAAAAGCATGTTTCGTTTTTTTCATTACTAAATCTGTTAGTAATAGCATATACAAATAATTCTCAAAGTTGCCCAACGAAATAGTAGTTTTCGACACAAGGGCGAAAAGTGCCGTTTTTCGTCGTAAAAGTCGAGCGTGTCAATCCGTCAGAAGTTCGAAAAACGGATTTTCGCCCTCGTATCGAACAATATTTTTTATTCGAATAAAGGATATAACACGAATAATAAGTTATAATAAATAGAAATAACTAAAAATAAAAGACGTCAACTTCACATATTTAAAATTTGATGTCAGTGCCATTTTTGAAATTGTCATCTTTTGACGTTTATAATTTTTCAAAAGTGTCCTTTTGTAAGCATATAAAAGTGAAACAATAAGTGTTGAAAATTAAAGTGCCGCTTTCACGGCATGGTGTAAGTTGCATATTTTGCATGACATTTGCGCTATTTAAAAAGATCGTGCTTTGCGTGTGGCAACATCGACCAGCGCAGAAAAATAGTCCATTTGAACGATTTTGAGACTGAACCTGAAACAAAGTTATAATTTACAAATTGGAAATACACTTAAAATTATGATCAATAGTTCTCTATAAACCTACGTAATTCATTAAAAAAGCATATCGGTTACTTTTTAATGAAAATACTTCAAAAAATATAATAACAGTGACAAGTTCAATTTGTCACATTTGCTTTTGCGCACATGTGCGTAAAAGTCCTCATGTAAAAGTAAAACAAATGAACAGTAAAGAAAAGTCATTTTTTTATAATCGCTTCTGATCGAAAAATGGCTGTGTTTGATCCATTCGGATAAAAAATTGATTTACTGACAAAATGTTAATAATTGTAAAATACAAACAGTCAAAACTAACCAGAACCGATATGAAAATAACTGTTTATGCACTTTTGGCAACATTTGGCGGCATTCCGCCTTATTCAATCTTAAGGTAGACATTTCAAACGTTTTATCATGGCATATAATATGGGGGGTAACGCGGGAAAATGATTTAAAAGGTTGCATGTTTTCAACATTTAACAAAACTTATCTTTATAAGACGTTGGTGACGGTTGGTACTCTAAAACAGTATAGGACACATTATACATTCAGTAGGTACATGGTTTTCACTCCATTATCACAGCGATTTGACTCCATTTCCCAATTTCTCAATCTCAAAAACTAGCAAATTTATATTGGAAAAATTCACGAAATTTTAAATACGGAAATTATTTCTGATTTCTAATGAACAAGTTCTTTCCTTTTCAAGTTAATAAAATTTAGGCATTTCTGAGTAATTTGAGAATACAAAATCAAATTATGACTATTGGTACGAGACCGCACACGTTTAGAATCCTAACGGCTTTTTGTAAAAAGATAAAAAAATCAGTGGAGTACCATTTTTTTCTTTAACAAATTCGGAAGCGTACAGGTACGCACGCCACTGGGAAAAATTAGCAAAATTATTTTATAGCAAAACACGCGGCTTTCATAGCCATTGCTGCCTGGAAAATGTAGTTAAAGTATCTCCATGCGTTTTCAAGAAATTTATAATTTGGATTATTTATATTAAATTTCAACACCTTGGAAATCCGTAACAAAGCATTTTTGAACTATCGTGGATCAAGCAAGCTAGGGTTATTTTCGCACCTAGAATATGATTCATCATCATTTTAACCAAATGGTTAAAATGATGCCCGTCCTCATGACAAATTTTCTCATTTTCATCCTATTTATTTTCTGTTGCACTGTGGATCAAATTTTAGCAACTAAATTTATTATCGAAACTGTAAATACATTTTAATCCAATGATTAATGATGAAATTATTAACGCAATTTATAGGTAGGAAATAATTATCAAATTCAATGCTGATTCAGAAAATGTTACTATTCAACATTATCCAGCTTAATTACTATGCAATTCAACTGAAAAAATTGGATCAATCATTGCATTGTTTTAATTATTCTCATTTGGATTGAGACAAATGGTTTTTGTTGAAATTCTATAATATTATTTAATTCGATGGTCTGTTTAACGCAATGGACTGTTCTATTTTTATCTGAATCCGGCAAAGTTTTAGTTTGACTTTTAATTGTTTTTAGGCAAACTTTACAAGATTAAAATGTTATTAATACTTTTGGGCAGATGGTTAAAAAATATAAATGGATAAAACAAAATGCAGTCACTCCAGACATATGAAATGTCCTAAATTGATATTTGTTTTCTGGCATTTATGACAGACAACTCAAAAGTATTTTATAGTGTCTCGGCTAAAAGATGGAATTTATTCGACGTTGAATTAGGAGAGACGGACCAAGGATTCTTTTTATAAACTTTTATAAATCTTTGCTTAGGTTTTGTTGGTGTCTTACCCGTCTTGGGGACAACAACCGCGGAAGGATGCAGAAAGTTGAACTTGATGATAATTTACTGCTGTCTGAGGAAGAAGTGCTAGCAAATTTTGTTTCTTTTTGCGTCTGGTTCTATGCTGTTTATACAGTCCACTGCAATTTACGACTTTAGTCACATAAATTACCGTTTATTTTAGAGCAAAAATGAGTTTATAAGTATCAAGCGGTTTCCACACCACTGTTTTAAATGACATGACCATTTAGAATTTCCAACAATATTTTGTTAGGGAAAAGGGTATAGCTTATGTAAGGAAATGAAGTGTTTATGTTGAAATCAAATAATCGTCCCTATCAGTAATCGAATAAATTTAGTAGTGTGTTGTTTTATCTAGGCCAATTAAAAGTATATTATTTGTTTAAAAATATCGCCTTGTACGGGTCAATGTTATTGTCGCATTTATCGAGAAATTAATGCACCAAAAAGGAATTTTTAAAACATTTAAGATACGTGAACAACCATGAAACTTTTGGCATCATGAAAGGCGCCGTAAATTGTTGCAAGTGCACATTTCGGCATG